TTCTTCCCCAGGCCATAGCTTCTGACATTTGCAGCTACTTCAGTCTTTTCATCTATCGTAGTCTATCAATTAATACTGATGATTCAAATTGTATAAAAATAGAAGCTTGATATCAGTAATTTGATTTACATGTAAGTCTACCCAGATCTCCTTCTGCTTGTGTATTAAATACTTAAAGCATTTAGCTTTGTAATCATACCATTTTATTGAAGAAGTTGGCTATGGTTCTTACAGTCATATGCTGTACTTGAAGACCTGAATTTGAGTCCTTAGTACTTCATGGTCTTGGTGACTCAGTTTGCTTTTCGTGACTGTTTTCCAAAATTACCATTTGGAATGAAAATACGTCTATAAATTTATTTGATATTACTAAGATTGATTTTTTGTTAAAAATGCCTGATGTTTGCTATAATGAGAGCTATAAAAGCTCTGTAATTATTTTTGATGTCCTTGCAAATCTTTGAGATTTTAGACCCATCTCCTGAAACTCTGTTCCTTTTGTGAAAACATTTGCATTGTTTCAGCTGAAAGTACAATTGTTCGTAACATGCAAACTGGACATGAGATACTGCTTTGTAGTAGCTATTAATCTGCTGATGAAATGGTTCTTGTAGAGATTGGAAGGGATTTGTGTATAGTGCAAACTGAATAGAATGAGTTTCAAAAATGTCTAGCAATTTAAAATGCTGCTTGGGTGTGAATTAAGATGTTCATAAGCTGCACACAGTTTCTTGAAATCTTGGTCCTTTTTAGCCATCCACAATGCCATCAATGCAGAAGTGCTTCTTAGAGTTTCTGAAGCACAAGAAAGTAAGATAACTGGGTAGATGAAGCATCAATGCTTACGGATTGTAAAAGGTGCGAGGCTGCAGTTTAACAATTTACGTGCTCTGGCTGTGGTTGTGATTGACTTGCAGAAGTGTGTTTGACTTGCAAGCTTTAGGGGATATTGATATGATGCCTATGTTTGGGCACGTAGCTTGTCCCAGTTGTGTAGTGAGATTCATTATTGTAGAATCCCTTCACTGAGGCTTAAGGTCAAGCATTTTGCCTTGTGTTTTGCTGTAGGGTGGGAACAAGCACATAGTCAGCTTAGGAGTCTTAGCTGATGGGCAGCAACTTGTTAAGTCAGGATAACTCAGTTTTGTTTGTATGTCTGTATTTTGAGGCATTTCATTTGGAATGTTTGCCACCTAAATGATAACTCTCTTAAGAGTGAGGCTTTTTAATTGAGAAATTGTGATCGTGAGATAAATTTGTCATAGGGAAGAAGACAGAAGGTACTAAAAAAACCCCACATGCATGAATGAGGGCTGGGAAGTTGCAGAATTTTGTGTTTTTTCCAAAGTATGTACATCTACCCTAAAATTGTACTAAATCAGGTTGTCAAGAGGCAACTGTCACCCTGAATATCTTGCTATGCAAATAGGCTTTACCATGTTAGATGTTACTGTCTTGAGAACTTTCTTAGGGTATAGATACACGTCTTCTGATCTTACTGGTAACAGCAGTAGAAGTTTCTGCTTCTTTCTTCTGTCTTCACTAGAGTTTAACGCTGTGTCCATTCTCTGTGGACTTCATGCGTTCATGTGGTGGTTTCTAATCTGTTTGGGTCAAAATAGCCTTTTTAGCAGAGGCCAGCTACTTTGCACTTTAAGCTCACCTGCTGTTCTTTGGGAATGAAAAGCAGCAGGACCGGTTGGGATGAGGAATCGTGCATTTACCCACGCAGTTCTATCGTGTGCTGCTTTGAGCTGTCTTTGAGAGAAACTTGAGGCTTTTTGGCTTTATTTGAGGGATGTGGTGTAACTGGTCAAGTTAATTCCCAGGTGATTACAGTTTGCATTGCAAAAATTCCTTTTGAACTTTAATCTGAATACTGTGATGTTTGGTGTATAATGTTAAAGGTCTACCATATTCCATTTTGGAGAGTTTCATCTTGCAGAGGAAGAACAAAGAAAGCTGGTATTGAGTGAAAGAACTGGTCTTGTTCAAGTGCAGGATTTACATCTGTTTTTATAGTGTGATATTCCAACTCAGGAATCTTTATCTCATAGGGCCAAAAAATACCCAAATGTGTTATGATAACCTAAGGAATTGTTCCCCAGGCACTGGTAAAATGGTTGCTATATGTCGGTAAAGTTAATAGTATTAGATAAGCATGAAACCTCCCTTTCCTGGCTCTCAGTATTGGTACTTCAAAGGACTGTATATCTGTCTGTTTGCCGTGTCTGCAATGTCATGGGCATCCACTGAGAAAGCCAACAAATGGACCAACTTGTTATCTGTCAAGGTACTTCTGTATGATCTGAACACCTGCCTTCTGCATGTTTGTGAGGTCAGTTCATTGTCCACAGGCAACCGTGAATGTAACTCACTACTACTGTTCTGGGACCAGGGTGGTGCTATTATTGCAAAGGAAAGAGAGTTCACCTCCATTTTAAAAAAAGTTTGATTACCTCTTAACCACTCTTTAAGTAACATCTCTGTAACATATCTTTTTTTCCTTTCTCCCTCTTTACATTCATGAATTGGTTCTTTGGAAAAGTAATTAATTGTATGCATTAATATCTTCTGTGTTACTGCTTTCAGCACATCATAGTGAATAAATATTACTTTATCAGCCCACTTGGCAATGATGACCATTAACCTGATTGTTAACTGCTGGGTCTCAGGCGGAATGCTGAATACAAGCTTGTTCCAAAATGGCAGAATCTGGCGCTCCTTTTTACTGTAATAAAGCTGCTTCTGTTTGCAGCACTGTGTTGCTGGGAGACTGCAGCTAATTTTTATGGCGCATGTCAGTAGTAGTGATTCAAATTATACATTTCATTGAGTAGCTCTTCTCTTTGTTTGTAAACTGTCTTCTGTGAGGGGAGAGAAATTTTTTTTGTTCTGGGGAGAACAGTATCCAGACCAGATAAAATGATTGAATCTGGAACAAAAGCTGAGATTGTTCCGTTGATAACATCATTGTACTTCCAAAGTCACTCCACGGGGGGATGGTGGCCTGGCTGAATTTACACCAGTCTGATAGTCAAGTCTAATGCAGGTATTTAGGAGAATTCCAGGTAAGGCATATACATCTCCTCAAACTGCTGTTTTTCAGACTCCATGGTGCAAAACTTCAGCATGTGGTGTGACTTTAAAGCAAAACAACAAAATAGACTCTGAGAGATTATGAATTAGAAAACTATGTAGTTTTGGTTCACAACAAAGATACAGTGACAATTTTGGGGCTCTATAGAAAATGTAGTCCTTTTTAAAATAATTGTTACACAGCTTGCACGCAATTACTGTGGCAAAAAGTGGGTGTAATTGGGCGTGTACCTAAATGAGAAAATACATGTGTAAGGTGGAATCTGACTAATAAGTTAAAAATCTTTCGCTTGCTGAATCTGTACTCCTTTTCTGGCTAAAGGAGATGGTCGTCCATTGCCTGATGTTCACATTCTGCGTAGATTTTCAGCAGTGTCTTGTTTTTAATCTTGCTTGAGATGCCTCTGTAAAATGGTGGGTGTGTGTGTCTGAAGCCTGCTTGCTTAAACACGCAAGTCATGTCAGCTGCAATGCGGCAGTGCTTGGTGCTAATGAGGTGAGCAGCCAGAGCACCCGTCTGCTTATGTTTTCTCATTTCTGTGCAATTATGGCAATGGGGATTGGAAAAAGGGATTTGTATTGGATATGGCTCTGTTTTGGCCTTTCCAGAGTGTGGTTCTATGTCCTCCTGATGACTGGGCAGCATATTTCTACTTGCATTTTGGGAGTTAGGTGGTTGCTTCACTGTATTTAAGGCAAGCTCTAAAATACATCCTGGTCGGGAGAAAAAAAGAAAACGGGGAGTACAGAGAGGGGGACACCCTCCCTTCTTCCCCCCCATCCTTCCCAGTTAATTCAAATGCACCTTGAAATGAAATATATTGCCTGGCTATACGTGTCTTCAGGTTGAGTAGATGCAAGTCTGTATTTGAAAAGTAATATCTTTGGAATAGAGCTAATCAGGTAATTAATTTGGGCTAGATCTGAATAGTTACAGGTGGCCTTCACAGAAATGGAGATGCACTGTGATTTCTCAGCTCACCTTCTTTCTCTTTTTTAACCCTTAAGGTGCTAACAGAAGTGTGAGATGTGTCTTTCATGCTGAAGTCAGAAAGTTTTACTTTGCACATAAGGCAAATAAAGTGAATACCAAATCCTATTTGTCTTTTCCCATCCTCAGATGCCAGACTGTCTTCATCGAGCTTGATGCCTTCCCATCCCATCCTATCGTATTCTCATTCCTGCAGCCTATCTTTCAGTGTTTCTTTTTCAGAGGCATAGTGTGTAAAACTAGGTCGTGATTAAGTGATATGTTGGTCTTGGTGGCAAAGCTGGCTTTCTTTCAAGTTCCTGCCTTAATGTCACGGGGTACTGCCCTGTTAGCTGATAAAGTTATTTCTGAGTATCTATTTAGTATAAATCAGATTGTTGAAATTATCTGTGTTAAAAATACTCTGTTTTTCTTTTTTTTAAGGGTCATATCTAATCTCTGTTACTTTGTCAATATATTGTGTAATGTGATACCACAAAAAGAAGGATCAATACAGCTGGGACTGGGAAAGGTATGGACTGTATCATGTAGGCAAGAACCAGCAGTGGGAGGCAGGAACTTCTGAGCTATTGATACTGCTGATGTGAATGTAGTGCGCAGCTAACACCCATAGAAAGAATTATGTGTCAACCTATAAAAAAAGTCCTTCATCCTGGGAAGGAGCCCAAGATTGTGTGCCCTAATACAGTCTGTTCTTTGCCTAGTCCTAGTTTTAAGTGGGTTAAGAGTAACATGTATGAAACAGTACAACTGACAAGATGCGTTTTAGGGAGAGTTGCACTGTTTTAACGCTCACTGTTCAAGTCTGGTACCTCTGTTGTGATCACATACAGTGCAGTATTTCTTTGCCTGTTTACCTTCTCCTGAAGACCTTGTGGTTGATTGGGATGTTTTTCTCTTCCTTCTTTAGGTCTCCGGGTGAATGGGGAGCTCATTACTGCTTACCCGCAAGTGGTGGTTGTGCGTGTACCAACACCTTGGGTCCAGAGTGACAGCGATATCACAGTCCTTCGCCACCTAGAGAAGATGGGCTGTCGGTTGATGAATCGTCCCCAAGCCATTCTCAACTGTGTCAACAAGTTCTGGACGTTTCAAGAACTTGCTGGTCATGGTGTGCCTCTTCCAGACACTTTTTCATATGGTAAGGCTTTTGGATCAAAAGGATAGCATAGTTGCCTACCATAGTTTATGCTTTTGCAGTGCAGAAGATATGAGTCAAGTTTTGGAAATCCATAGAATTAAGTGGCATGAGGCTGGTTCCACACATAAGTGTTCAGTAACCAGGAAACACAAAGTCACAGCATTCGGATTCTGTTCTTGGCTTTGTTGATTAGCTGTGATGCTTTGGGAAGAGTACTTTAACTGTACCTCAGCCTCCCAAGCAACTAACTTTGGCTGTTACTACTAAACTACTTTGAACTGTTTTCCAATTGCCTGAAACAACAGGCAAGAACTTGGGGAACTAAATGTCATAGGATACTATAAAGATCTAGACTTTGGTAAAACCTGAAAGTAGATTAAACTTCTATATGAATAAAAATACCTGCAAATATATTAGGTATTGTGAAAGGACAAAAAGAGTACAGGCCCTTGTGTTCAACTTTTAACAATTGTTTGGGGTTTGTTTCCCACCAGAACGGTTAATTATTAATGTTTCTAGTGCCTGCCTCTGGAGTCTGTGGTTCCTGACAGAGTGCTAGATTAGAGGAACCATTTGTCTGAGCTACCCTGATGCTATTTCTGCTTTTAATTACAATATATTAAAGAATTGAAGATACCTCTCAGCCTTCCTTTCCTTCTTCGGAAATACCAGTGCTTTCCTCCCTTTTGTGTGGTTGCACCAATAGGCTTTTGTAATAGGAACTTGACAAAAACACAAACAAACTTCACAAAAACAAAAACATGGGTTTCCATCAATTACTGTGAATTACTATTTCTATCCGTTACTGTGAAAACATGTTTCAGAAGAAATACCCTTTCTTTATAGATGTGGTTGCTCTAGCTCTTTGAGCAAGGAGTAAGTTTTTAATTTTTTTGGGGGGAAGGGGAGACCATGAATGATAGGGTAATTACAGAACATCTCTCTCTGTTCATAACTCCCTGCCACTTCTTTTAATGCCTGCCTCTGGAATTTGACAGAAGTATAACCTTTTTTTAAATTTTTTTTTTTTTTTTTTTTTAAAAAAACACAAGTATCAAGTGAGGGCTGGCTTTGCCAAGAAGAACAGGATGTGCTGAATGACATGTTGTTCCATGACACGCATTAAAATCCATGGCAGGGTAGTGATGGCTGCTGCTGGCTTTGTGACCAGTCTCTTGGCTTGACTTGTGTGCTTTACTGCACATGCTGTTAGAGGAGTCTCATCCTTTTGTCTGCTGACTTTCTTTTCTGTATTTCTTGTACTGTGGTCAGCCTTCTGTGAATTGAACTGAACTGAAATAACGTTGAAGTATCAACCATAATCATGTGAATGGTCATTAAAAGCTACTTTCTAAGGTCCTTACAGATGCAATGAGATGAAAGGGTTGAAGTACTACTTCAGGAATAGGGAGAATGAGATGCAGGAGACTTAAGCCTTGGAAAGGGGGGAGGTGGAGTGACAAGATTTGGGTTGTTGCTGCTCTCTGGATTATGCCTTGTCTTTGTATTCCATGTTGCTTTCCTGGTTAGTAGTTTGGATGGAACTGTTACTGGTGTTACGTCTGTGCTGTTTTCCTGCTAGACACTTGAAAAGGTGGGAGTTGATAAAGTAAAAGGGATAAACTGGAACAAGATGGTAGAATCGGGGCATTCAGATTTGGAAGATTGGATTGAGCCTTTTGGGGTTGTGATCAAGAGGCCTTTGTCAACTTGTGTCTTCCATTTCAAAGGAAGTAGGAGTTAGTATCCCACAGATTACAAACACCGTCAAAGTCTGATCATGCTCCACGACCAAGTTCCTCTGAACTGATAGTTTTTTCTGCATTATCTAAGTTGTAAGGGTGGGAGGAATGTGTGGCATTTACATCCCCAATTTGGCCACACCAGATTGGTGGCACATAATGTTGTTGGTTTTCTTTTTGCCAGGTGGTCATGAGAATTTTGCCAAAATGATTGATGAGGCGGAAGTGCTGGAGTTCCCTATGGTGGTGAAGAACACGCGGGGTCACCGAGGTGGGTGTGAGGTCAGGGGTGAGGGCGAGGAGTATTCTGAGCAGCACTCTTAAGATTTTTGTCTTGTCAAGGAATGATAGTTAAGGTCTTCTATTAGGTGTTGGACTTCTTTTCGGTACATCTAAACTCTACCACCCTTCAACTTCTGGATGTTGAGTAGGCTGCAACACTGGGAAGCAGTTTTAGTAGAACCTAGTCTTTCAATAGCAGGGGAATAAGGGTTCAAAATTATGGTGCATTGGTGACTTCTGTGAGGAAAGCTTTGAACTGGAATAATGGAAGGTCTGGCCTTAGGGAAGTAGAGGGAAGCCTATGTGGATTTTAGGGATGTTTCTAAATAGGCATAAGAAATGAAATCTTAGTTCATTCAGTCTTAATTTGACTTTTTTTCTACTTGACTTTGTCTATAATTAGGATTCTGATTTAAATAAAATCTCATGGATTGTTTGTCAAACTGGATCTCTGTTTTTCAGAAAAATATCTCTGACAGTACTGGTGATAATACAGCAGGTTCAGATTAAATTGTTCTGCTTTCAGTCTTTTGTTTTAAGTGTTGAATATGAAAAAATGTCAATTTTGTTTAATGTTAGATAGTGATCTAAAGGAAACGAGGTTTAAAATCAATTTCAGAGGTTATTTGCACAGGAGGTTGCACTTAATTTACTTTAAAACCAATTAAATAAATACTAGAAGTAAAAAGAGACGGAAACCAAAGTTTAAGCACATAAACCAGCAGTTACCTTAAACAAAAGCGTAACAAAAAGACACCAGTTCTTCCTTCTTATTGTCCGTCAGTTTGTTCCCACTCTGTGCTGCTCTGGTTCATCTCTTCTGCTGGCATGGGTGTTTCTGTAGCCAATTTAGTAAATGGATCCAGGAACTGATGTTGGATGAATCTAGATGGGTTATTTTTACTTGGATTATTTCCTTACATGAATTATTATTCACTCACACAAATGCTTGTGTTGATGTAATGGGAGAGTGAGAGTAAAAGGCTGGGGCAGAGGAAGATCAGACCTCCTTCTGTTGGCAGTAATACCTGTTTATATGGTTTTAAAGTGCTCATGGAGCTATGAAGCCAAGTTGGAGTTTGACTTTGCACTAAGCTGAATTTGACAACTGTGGAGTATCTGAGACAGTGGATTTGACTTGACACTGCCTCTTGTTAAGATCTACTAAATAATTATAGAGTTTGCAGCTATTGACTTTCTTCTCCCTTTTTTAGCCAGAATTCATGTAAATCTCTGTTTACTAGTTTTGCTTTAGAGCACTTTAAATTCCAGGCATTTTGATGCAAATTTATGCACAGTACATATCCTTTCACATTAAGAAAGTTGGGGAAACTTTTTCAAATTAATGGAAGAGCAACCATTTGCAAATTGTATTTAAAAAAACCAGGCAAACGTGGTCTAAGTACTGGCTCATGAATAAGTCATACTCTTCTAGGCCCATGTTCTACATAGTTTGCTGCTGCAGCAAATGTGCCAATCTTATTTTTGCCAAGATGTCATGCTGCTGCATAATTCCCAAGAACTAAGTAGTTCCCCTCCAAGGCATCATTCTTCCTATCCCATTTTAGGAATATAGTAGGATTATTGAGTGCCTGTAGGAGAGCTGAAGTTGGGAATGGGAGAAAGCACATGGAGGTTTTTGCTTTCTTGTCATGATTTTTAAGCCTACGTTCTGATACTCTGTGATGAGAAATTCCATGTTCCTCAAGCAGTGTTCTGTGTTGTGGAGACCTTAAATCCTGACGAACAGAGGCTGCTCCATTTGGGCTTTGGACCACTTGGTGGAATTCTTCTTCACCTGTTATTTCTCCTAGTTCTGCTACTGCTGTATTTCTGTTCCTTTAGTTAAGACAGGCAGTTTGTCAATTGATTTTTGTACTCTGTTAACATTGTAGCATAATTGAGTGACAATTCTGCCACAAAAAAACCTGTGCAGCCTTATTGCAAAACATAAATCTAATATGACACATAGAAGAGTCCTTAAGAAAGGGGAAGAGGCATTGGGAAATGCAGCTAACAATGGAAAGGGATGCCATCTTGTGAGACTAGAAATGAGATGGAAAGTGGTAGAGTCTGTTTCAGGAGTGACTTCTATAAGTATTAGTAAAATTGGAAAAGAACAAAGAAGTCTTTGTGTGCTCTAGAAATGAAGGTGAATGAAATGACATGTTTTAGGTTAAACAAAACAAGTCCTTGAGATGTTTGCTTGCAGAAAAGCTAGTGATTTCTAAAGAGTTTCTTAAAAAATTGTAATACATTCCATTCATTTTATGTTTTGTGGAATCTTTTGCTAAATTATCTTTGATACTGTGGAGTCTAGTGTTTTCCTCTGAACATAGTTGTTCCACTGCAAAGCCTCATTCTGGAGTTGTGAGCTCTTGTAAGTATTGGGAAGAGCAGCTCTCAGCAACTTCCCAATAGAGAAGCAGTTGGTTCTGCAGTGGCACACTAGCGACTTCAGAGTTCTTAGCTGCCTGGTGTTTAACAGCTTCATGTCATTCGTTCCTGTGTGTCAGAGGTGTAGGCTGTGGGTCTGGTCCTCTTGGATGAACAAAAATGTGTTATTAATTAAATGTCTGCTACTCTTTTAAGTATTTCTTCCTTTTTTCTCTCATTAAGGATTTGTACAAAAGGATTTGAAATTACAAGGCCACTTTCTTTATCTAAAGCTGTTTTTTTCTTTCCTTTTTCTTTCCCTTTTTTTTTTTTTTTTAATACTCCTCATATGGCTTCTCAACTCAGTCAGTACTTGAACTCTTAGAAGCACTGAAGCAGTGGAACATTGATGTCCACAGAAGAATTTGTAAATGGGTATAAGCTACAGATGGGGCCTGTGAGAATGGGCAGCATACTGGTCAGAGGTTTTACTTTTATGCGCTCAATCATTGACGCAGCTCAAATCGGTAGCTTCTTCCAATCTTTCGATGTTCTTTTCTTTGTACAGGTAAAGCTGTGTTCCTGGCACGAGACAAGCACCATTTGGCAGACCTAAGCCATTTGATCCGTCACGATGCCCCTTACTTATTTCAAAAATATGTTAAAGAGTCCCATGGCAAGGATGTACGTGTCATCGTAGTAGGAGGCCGTGTGGTGGGCACCATGCTCCGCTGCTCAACAGATGGGAGGATGCAGAGTAACTGCTCACTTGGTAGGAAAAGCATTTTTCATAGTTTTGATCAGAATTTTTCAATCCAGTTGAAAAATCACAAACCCAACTGAAATAGGCTGCAGGTTTTATTTTGTATTAATTGTGCTTATTGTTGGGGGTTTACAGAGGAAACAAGAGAGTGAGGATTAAGTGAGATGCGTGTTGAGCAAACACAGAAGGAGAGACAATCTCTGCCCAAAGTATTAGACTGATAGAATGGATGAAAAGGAGGGGAAGGTTCTAGGAACACAAACAGAACAACAGATGTGGTAATGGCAGTGTCATGCTAATGCCATGTTATCATTCATTTCATCCTGTTAAGAGGAACAGAAAAAGAAGGAAGACAGAAGACAAGACTGAGGGAGGTGGAGGAGACAGCCAGTTGGCAAGAGGGTAGAAGAGAGTGTTAAGGGAGGAAACTGTTGAAGGCAATAAACAGTTGGATTGCATTGTGCAGCTGCTGTGCTGCCTTAAGTCTGTCAGGCTCCTTCCTGCAGCGTTTTCCACCAAAGACCATGTCTGGGAGGAAGAGGAAGGTTACTGCATTGATTGTAGCATACTCGGAACTGAGTTTCTGCATAGCTTTGGGTGTAGGATGGGAGGTTTCTGAGGGTAGGAGGAGGAAGGAGGGTTGAGGTTGCCTGCCTGAAACTGTACTGAACCTGAGCAGGGATGGGATAAAATGTGTTCATGTGTGGTTTTGGTTAGTCAAAATGCCCAAAATGCCTGAGAGGTTTTAGTTACTACTTGATCCTGAGGAAATAGAGCCTGAAAGATTTTTTGCTAAATGTTTTTCTGTTTGTTATATTTGGGTTTTTTTTTTTTTTAAGCTTAAGTGTTGTGATAGATGAAGTCTGAGTTGGTTAATACTTAGATGATGGACTGTGAACTGAACCAGCTGAGGTTCAGACACAAATGTTCCCTAATTCTTGCTTTAGAGACAGTAACCTATGATAGCAAGCTGAGAGGGACGTGAGCAGATGATAATGTCTTAACCCCTGTCCCCCTCAATTATATCTGTTAGAGCTGTAGTCTTATCAGGAACACTTGGTTTAATTTTGCTGAAAGATTTCATGTGATAACTTACAAATATGTGTGGAAAGCCTCTATCTAAGAAGGAACAAGGGTGGTTTGTTAGGTCATCTTTTTTATACCCCAGGATCATAAAAATGTATAATATCTTTCTTGACTAAAAAGTCAGCACTTAACTGTTTTTTAAACAATTCAGAATCCTGACCTGCCTTTATCTTTTGAAATCCTGCTGTGGCTTCAAGTTCATTAGTAGTCACTGCAGAAAGGAAGTTGCTGTCTGAGTCAGCAGCAGTATACTTGCAGGCTCACTTTGGAGCTTCCCGACCAAAAAGTACCAGCCACTTGAGAAAGGATGTCAGTCACCTGTGACCAGACTACAGAGAGCAATTTTTTTTCACTTTTTCCAGGTGGCGTAGGGATGATGTGCTCACTGAGTGAACAAGGCAAGCAGTTGGCAGTCCAGGTGTCAAACATCCTGGGGATGGACGTGTGCGGCATTGACCTGCTGATGAAGGACGATGGTTCATTCTACGTCTGCGAGGCCAATGCAAATGTAGGTTTCATTGCCTTTGACAAGGCTTGTAATCTAGATGTAGCTGGTATCATAGCGGACTATGCCGCTTCTCTCCTTACCCCCGGTCGCTTGACGCGGCGCATGTCCTTGCTCTCTGTGGTGTCCACGGCAAGCGAGACTAGCGAGCCAGAGCTGGGCCCTCCAGCTAGTGCCGCTGTCGACAATATGAGTGCTAGCTCCAGCTCTGTCGACAGCGACCCTGAGACCACGGAGAGAGAGTTGCTCACCAAGCTCCCGGGGGCTCTGTTCAACATGAACCAGCTATTAGCCAATGAGATAAAACTTCTTGTGGAGTGATGTAAATAGATGACCAACAGAACTCTCTCCTGTAAATTTTTTTTTAAACCAACTTGCAATGCTGTTTATCAGAGAAGCTCAGAGGAATGAGGAAGGGGGGGATGTCAATCAACAAAGCAAGACTGAAAGGCACGCGTGCTGTGATTGCTGCCCCTACTTTTTTGCAGAATATAAAATTGTGTTCATTCTTCAGCATCAGTTTTCTAATGAAGATGCCCAGTTCACAACCTAAGTGGGAATTTTATTTGGATGCTGCTTTGGTCCCCAGATGTATTGCAGTTCACGTGTGTTCACAGGCAAGCATTGAAGCATGATTCACACTTGAAGATTTTCAGAAAGCTCTCTGGCATCTCTCTAGAAACTTCTGTGAATTACTGCACCAGTTAAGTCTCTTCTACCTCCATAAGGCTTGATCCTGTAAATTGCTGAGTGCCTCAAATTCTCAATATGAGTTGAAGGTGTTACATACCAGGTATTTCAAAGTTCCTGGACAGCTACTCTTCCTACTCTTGTAGATGGGAGCTGAAGTTACAGCTGTAAGCTGTAAGATCCTTTTAAAGTCATCACTTTCTGACCTTGCAGCATATGGCCTTTCAAATGATGAGGCTGAGAGAAGCATCAGTTGACTTAACGTGAGCTTTCTGTACAAATCTGTAATTTGTGCCATCTTGGTATTAATTGGCAGCTTTGTGTCTATATTTCTTTATAAAGCTTTTGAAGGAGGATTTTAGTACTTTTGCTTTTCTCATTTCAAATCCTGATTTTGGAAGGTATGTAGGGGAATTGATCGTATTCTATTTATGGCAGAAGTGGTACATTTTAACTATTTTTTGCATGATTGGAGGAGATAAACAGCACTGTAATGTTTGGTGTACAAAATAATGTTTAATCCAATGTGAAAAATAATTACACTAGTTTAAAGCAGATGTGCATCGACTTGTATTTGTTAGTGTTTTAGTCTTTTTGAGAGAGATCTGCAATGTTAATGTTCTTTTTTCTTTAATACATGCTAGTCCAACACTCCCTTCTCTATGCCTGCATCTTTAACAGTGGCCAAAGTGAAAACACTGCAGACTATTTGTTAAGAAAACACTGAGTTAAAGCCTGTACATTGGTGGGGTGGGTTTTTTTTTGTTTTTATTTTTTGCTTTTTGCGGGGGGGGGACGGGGACGTGGTAAGGTGTGGAGGAGGGAAAAGTTGGTTAAAAGTGATGAGACATCTAGAGGTACTTTAGAATAAAGCTGCAGTTCATACAATACTTCCCAGGCTTACTTTTTCCCCACTGAACATAAAAGCTGATGTTGGCAAAAATCCAAAGAGTATATCTGGGGAGAAATACTCAATTCTTAGCTTTGGGAAACATGCAGCAGGTTTAAAAAAGAAAAATTAAAAAAAAAAAAAGAGGAGAGCTCAGCCAGAATTAAAAAAAAATATATATATAGCCTAGGTCTACAAACAATTAACAAATTGATCCTGGACCCTTATGTGTGTGTGGTGTGAGCGCACACACTTGTGTGTGTTTGTGTGTGCGCATTTGCTTTGCTTTATTTCTTTTTGGGTTTTGGCTATTTAGCTCCTGATTTTTTTCCAGGCTGCCTGATTTTCCGTAGTCCTTCTGGCTGTGCATTTTCTTACTAGCCTTGAGCTGTTTTGGAACAGATAACCAAAACAGATACTGAGTCCATTTTTCAGTCCCTATCTTCCCCCTCCTTTTCTTCCTCCTTCTCCTCCTCCCTCTTCATTCCTTTCTCATTCTCTGGGTTCGTAAAGCCCTGGAACTATAGAGAGAGATATATATAAAGATAAGCCTCTTTTTTAAAAACAAAAAGTAAAAAGTTTACAATTGAAAAATAATCTTGTGAAAATAGGGTTTGTTTGGAGGGGGGTTGTGTGTGTGCAATGCTGCTGTTTTCTGGATACTTTAATGGAGCATGTCCCATGTACCCCTCTGAGGCTCTGCACTACCCACCTCTGTGGCCCTTCCTCACCTCTCTGCTGCTCTGCTGTTTTATCTTCACTTGGACCTTAAACACAACTCACGGACACTACGCAGAGAGTCTTCAAGAGGCAATAAACAGAACAGTATTAACCTGCTTTACGGAGGTTTGATCATGCTTCTTTGTACAGTTTGGTTTTTTTATTTTAAAAGGAATGTAATAAAATGGCTTTTTTTTGTAGAATTAAATATTATTATTAAAATCAAGTGAAAGGTTGACTGTTGGTGTTAAGCAGGAGAGCGGACCAGCTGGTCCAGCAACAAAAGGAGCTTCAGCAGTAAAGGTATTTTCAAATCTTTCTTCCTGAGCCTTCAAGTGCACAGGTTATACCTGAAGAACGTAAAGGTCCTTAACTTCCATGAAGAGCTGCAGAACCACAGAACATGAAAGAAACCTAATTTTCTAGTCACTGAGCAGTAAACTATCACTTCCAGAGGCTTTTCTCCCCTTGCTGTTTATCTAAGGGGAATTTGGGTGGTGGTGGTTTTTTTTGTTTTGTTTTTTCTTTTCTTTTTTCTTTTTACTGGTAGGTGCCTGCACTTCTTGAGAGGGTGATAGGGTCAATCCTTCCCTTTTCGGCTGTGTCACACATTGAGCACATGTGGAATAACAGCAGGGAGTAAACATGTGCTAGTTGGTATAGTAGGATCTCTGTATTTCTATCACAGGAAACATCTTTTAGAGGAAAGAGCTGGTAACGGAACATTCTGGACTGTTTTTTGAGTCTGCATAGTATTTTGTGGCTCACAGGAACTTTACATTTCTATCACCCTTTCAGAATGTCCAGGTTATACCTCACAGTAGTAAAATTTGTGAAATAAACATAAGATTTTTTGAAAGACAGTGGATTGAGCGATTTACAGTTTGGCTCCCTTGGGATAAGGTGCCTCTGTGTGGTTGCTGCTTCCATTGCTAATTTGGAGATAAGTCTATGCATAGTGCTCAGGGAGGGAGACAGGATTTGAAACATCATGTACGTTTGTTTGGACATTGGATATTGATACAAGCATGACCTTGCTTGAGGGTTTGTTGGTAAAAATGGGCACGCTTGTCTCATGTGTTCACTCCCTACTTATCTATTGCTCCTGAAATAGTGAAATGTATAGAATGGGCTGGGGGTGTGAGGGGGGTGTCTTGTTTTTACTTAAAGGAAAAAACCACCAACGAATCTAGCCTGTGGTAACCAGGCAGTGTTTCCCATTGAAGGTGCACTTCACAAACGTCAGCTTTATACACTGTATTTCCTTCAGTTCCATATGAAAAACACATGCTAAACTTTCATACAGTTGCACTAACACTACCTCCTGTGGGTTTGGAAGCATGTGCTGAAAAAATGGTCAACTTAGTGGTGGATTACAATGGTGCTAATACAACTGATGGTGATACAACTATTTTTGTATATTTTAATGTTGAAAGAGCCAGTTAGAAACTCTCGTTTGCAAGAATAAGTTTCTTAAACTACAACTGATGAAATTTTGTTCTCTGTAACACTAGAGATTTTCTTCTGTTCAACTTGCCATGTTTATAATTGATGTCTTGCTATGTCAATGTACGAATTGTATCTCAAGCCTTGTATTTAATGCTTTAATGTGTTTTATAAAATCTTTTTTTGGAATGTTACACCACCTCCTCTGTAACACAATGTCAATGCTTGATGCATACGTGGACTGTTAACTTTTTTGTTCTGAGCTGATGGTCACTCTTGTAGCATTTTCTCCTACTTCATGTGCTATCTTTCACGTGTGATACTTACTCAGGAAGTAACCTCTGGAACATCTGTGTATGTCAGACGCAAAGGAGATACTTCTTCAGATGTTATACTGGACTTCAAAATCCAACAAATGAAACCAGTGACGTTTGCTAAATCTTTTCTCCCCCTTATTGCAAAAATCTGTCAGTTAAATACATAAGGGCTTAGACTTTGAAAACAAATCGCATGTACAGTACCTTTCTCATGGCTCACTCTTTTTGAGAAGGTTTATGGGCTTTATGGCTGGTGTGAGACACACGACCCACTCCTGTTCTCTCTATGGAATAGTAGGTGCTCGGACAGGTAACTTCTGTTGCTACTGTCTTCTTTAATTTTTAATTTTTTCACTGTTCTAGGACTTGTTTTAAACTGAACACTGCAGGATTTATAACCAAATGTTTGCTGCCTTTTCCTTTGTTTTATTTCTTTAAGTCTTTCTTAACCTTTGAGGGTGACTTTTGGAGCATTCTGATGGTGGATCTTGGCCTGCTGTTGGAAGTCTCCAAGCCTCTCATATTTCCAGTTTGAGTTGAAAAGTTCTTGTTATGTTTATTTGTTTAAACTGATGACACAAATTAGATGTGTGGATTTCGGGTGGGATTTGTTGTTGCTCTATTTTGTGTGACTTATTCTCCCTTCTTTTACAGAAATGTGTTCTAACAGTTCACACTTTGTTACTGTTCTTTGCAAAACTTTTCAGGAGCCAAAAAAGTCAAACAATCCAGAGAAAAACTTCCCTTCTCCCCTTTCCGATGGCGAGAGTGAGAACTTAAGAAAAGTCCTTGAGAATGTTCCTTCCTAAACTTTTCCCCCCAGTAATGCAAGCGGGTAAAATGGTAAACGCAGCAGTTTGGTGACATCCAAAACCGACCTGTTGTCAGGTAAATTGACTCTTTTCTGCTCTTACTGTAACCTTCATAAGTTTGCTAACTTGTCTGCCTTCCTTTCTTCCCATCAGTTCATTTTGGTGAAACTTCTTGAATGATTTGTTTAACAGTGATACTTAGAGAAAATGCTACTTTTCTTCTTTATTTCCCCTCCGTATACATGTTGACTTTTAAGAAAACTGTCATTGTCCTTTCCTTTAACTCAGGTGAGACAAAAGTGAGTCCCCTCATGTAAGTATATGAGGGATAGTTTTGTAATATGTTAATTCCACCTCCTCTTTATCACTTCAAGGTAGTTTGCCTTCAAGTGTACTATTTTAGCTTAGGTTTTTGAAAGATACGATGCTTTCCATTTGCCAAGTGAACATAAAATATAACTGCATCAATTAGGAGTTGGTAGGTATGAAAAACTAGTACTAAGAATGTTAAATCTATTAAAATTCAATAGAGCAGGATCCTGTAAAGAGGGCAGATGGGAGAATATGTGTACTAAAGAAAAAGACGCTGCGGCTGATTATTTCTCTTTGTGGAGGATGGGGTGGCGCATTTTAAGTTGCCCTTACTGCTA